AGCATGATGATTAAAGAATCTAAAGGAATAGGCATCGATGATCATAACATAAAACAAGATAAGCATTCTATTAACTCATAGAAAGTGATGCAAAAAAATAATAGAATCACATACCTAAACAAATCAACTAGCAATACATAGAGAGTAGAACGAGATATATATTGATACATGCATCAATGGTGGATGCTTCCTCGATGAATTCTAGCAGAGTTTCACCTCTTATTCTATGGATTGCTACTCGTGCCCTTAGGATAGAGTGCTGGTAAAATGTGTGTATAGCCTACCCTCGTATTTATACTAGTTATAGAAGGGGCTTTTCAGGAATTTTTCCTCTCAAAGTCGGCCAAAACCTTCCTTCAACTTGTGAACTAAGTAACTTGCTGAGGAAGTATTCTAGAAGTTAGGGCATCAGCGGGCGGCCCTACGACGATTAGACCCACCGCTGGGTTTTCTTCTTCAAATTGGACCATTTTTGGTGGGCAACTTCAACTTAGGCCAATGGGCTTACTCCTCAAATTTATACTCGTTTGAACTTCGTTTGACCCGTCTTCTCTTCAAAATACTATTCTCTAGTCTATAACTTGAGCTTTCGGCGTCAGAATCCATCTCTGTTAGAGCCCATGAGCTTGTATTCTTGACCTACTTCTGATCCATTTGGTCCCTATAAAATGTGGGAGTGATAAACACTATAAATAGAATGTCATCAGAAATACCTCACACTTGAACTTTGCTTGTCCCCAAGCAAACACTATCACGATCATACAACTCAATAAAAACCAAATAACATTTACTGAATCTCGATCTTAGGTAGTGGATCAAAAGTAACTTACAAGGTCAACAATAACATGAGAGAATCCTAACCATATCAACATGCAAAAACATCATGCAATCAAATCCAAGCATAAATCACGGGTACCCAAAAAACACGTGTATGGGGGATGAGTTTGCAAACTCTTTTCAGCATGGGTATGGAGCGAGTATGGATTTTGATATTTTAAAATGGAGATGAGGATGGTTTAGGCAAATCCGCCCCATTATCATCCATAAGTTCAAGTATAGTAGAAAACTTGAAAATCAGGTCACCATATATTCGATGAATTATATTAAAGGTATGACCAATGAATATAAAGGTGCAAGTAATATTGAATATTTATCTTGCACAGCTAAATCATGCATGATTCATAGTTTTATCTATTAAATTTTAGTACAATGAGTACGTAAAATCCAATAGGTTATCGTATGAACTTGAATATTTGAAAGATACGATTAATATTAAAACCCAATAGGTTAACGTATGAACTTGAATATTTGAAAGATACGATTAATATTAAAATCCAATAGGTTATCGTATGAACTTGAATATTTGAAAGATACGATTAATATTAAAATCCAATAGGTTATCGTATGAACTTGAATATTAATATTAATATCCATTAATATTAATGGAGTATTCAAGTAATTATGTATGAATTTAGATGATTAAAATAATATAATGGAGCTTGAAATTTAATTTTATCAAAATATAAAAACTTAGGTTTGTATTAGAATAAAATTATTTATGTATTTATAAAATCGTTTATGTTAACTAGATACGTTATAAAAACATCTCTTTAAATTAATAAATTATTATTTATCAATAATGAATAACTATTGTAACTTAACTATTTTTATGACTATATTAATTTATTGAGGTTTACACTTTACCATAGTAGCTTAGTGCTGCCATCCATTTCACCTATCAATTCGAACGAAACAAATAAATTCTCACTTTTCTACATTTCCGCAAGGATTTTCTTGGACCAGAATTTGCCATGAACAGCAATTCCCAGTGGATGGACGGTAGCCGTCCATGATAACCCGAGGGCAGAGCCCTGTGGATGCGAACCGTCGTTCGTGAAGAGCTCTTCGAATTCCGTTGAAAAGTTGAGATATGAAAAGTCGAATTCGCATCCTTTTAGCCTCTTCTTCTTGTAGTTCTTCTCCGTGTTCCCTTCAATCGGCCGCCCATTTTTGGAGCTGCGAATAAACGTGCTCCACGTGATAAGGGCTCTCTGGATCTCAAGGAATGGTGGAAACCTTTTTAGTGGGACAAAGAACAGTTGGGAGTTGTTGATATGTCGATTTCTCGTTCTTCATCCGTGTAAAAGCTGTGAATTCATAGCTTATTACATCGATTCGTCTCCTGGAACTCATCTGACATCCCCACTCTGAGATTCTTAAATCCAGTTCTTTGACGATGGTCTAGCATTTCCCTCTCACACTTTACCTTCCTTGAGCTCCTGGCTTTCTGGGTTATCGTCTTTGTTCTAAGGACTAAAGGCTCCCTTCTGCTCCGGAGGTTTGTTCCATCTTGATGTTTTCTGGGTTTTTGTGGGTTCTCAAGTTTATTGCTTAAAGGTCGCGTCTTCCATTTTCGCTAGTGAATTGTGATTAGGATTTCCGGTTTTATTTGATTTCAAGTTCTCAAGTTGCACTACCAACTCGGGATAAGTTTGATTCAGAATTTTGCTCTTGCAATTGTGAATTCAGGCATTAATGGGAGAGACAGAAGTGGACAGAGCCAACATGGACATTCCCAAGTGGAAGGAGAATGGGAAACGGAAGGGGTTCGATCCATCATTTCTAGTGCAGCTACCCAACAAGCTTCACAATTCTTTGAAGGTTAGTTGTTAGTTAATTCACTTCGGAAGCTGAATTTTTAACTTGATAGTAGTCCTCCGAGGATGGGGTAACTGAGCAATTTCCAGTTCTGTGCTCTCTACAGTCGCAGCTGAGGAGATTTGATATAGCAAAGAACAAGGTAGGAAACTCCCCCAGAAAGGAAACTGGGTCATCGGCTGCAATTGGGATTGGTCTAGAGAAGCAGTTGGAGGCTTGGAGAGAAAATCCGTCTTGGGTTGATCAACCTCCAGTTATACAGGTATAGGAGCAGCTGCACTAAAAATTTCAAAACTTGCTGTTTCGTTAGACAAAAAACTGATAACAAGTTGAGGGTTAGGCAGCTCTGTTGATCTTTTGCTTGAGTGTTGAATGCTTGGAATCTGATGTTGTTCTTGGCAGGTCAGTGTACCAAAGGGCTCTCTCTGCAATCTTAGTGTGAAAGTCAATGTTGGGTTGCCACCAGATGCAATTTATGACATAGTGATCGACCCTGACAACAGGAGGGTTTTTAAGAACATTAAGGTACACTTTTTGCTACCAAGGCTGTTCATTTTCTGAGATTGTTTTTCTGTCCACTCTCCAAGTTTTTAAGCAAATCTTGTTTGGAATGGATAAATTTTTCCAGGAGGTGATATCCAGGAAAGTTCTGTATGATGATGGCCAGAGGCAGCTGGTTGAAGTTGAACAAGCAGCTATATGGACATTCCTTTGGTGGTCAGGGACCATGTCTGTCCATGTGTTGGTTGATCAAAACCGCAAAGATCACTCTGTAAGAATCTCAACATATCTATCTATCTATCTATTGATATATGTATGTATGGTTCCATTTGTGCTCTAGAACACATGAATATGGAAAAGTAATAATGATATATGTGATGATGGGCTTCACAGATGAAGTTCAAGCAAGTGAAAACCGGATTTATGGAGAGATTTGAAGGCTCCTGGAAAGTAGAGCCTCTGTTTGTTGATGAACAAATTTGCCATCCGTTGAAGCCTAAAACGTGGGCAGATTATGATTCCTGCACTGGAGGGAGAGGGAGGATAGGATCAGTAGTAAGCTTGGAACAGTTGATCCAGCCATCAATAGTTCCACCTCCACCTATATCTTGGTACCTGAGAGGAATCACCTCCAAAACCACTGAGATGATTGTGACTGACCTTCTTGCTGAATCTGCCAGAATCAGGGAAGGCATCAATGGTCTCCAGTTGGAAGAATCTGAGACGTTAAAAGATGGGTTTGATCAAGAACGAAAAATGGAGTCATCTAATATCAAAGAAAGGTGGATGGTACATAGGAAGAATGCAAAGAAGCAGCATAAAAGACTCTTCCCTGCTGCATACCCTTCTTCACGAGATTGAACCCCATTTGCAAACTGGGAACTTTCTGTTACTTAGTAGTGGTACTTGTGTAAACTAGAGATTTCAATTATGATGTGGTTTAGAAAACGATCTCGTTACAACCGATAAATTTCCTTTGAAATCCTTCAAATTTCGTTGTTTGTCACTTTCTCTGAGTGGTCTGTCTTGAGGAACATTCGAAGTTCAGAATGAGTGTTTCTTTGGTGAACGGGAGAGATTTTCCATAGAGTTCAGATTGGTATTTATGATATTGTATCATTAAGTCAATACAGATTTAACGCGGTTCTAATAATCTTTAAAAAGTTCAGATTTAATCTAAGTTTTGTTGTTGAACTTCTACTACACCATGAACTGTGAGGTTCACCGGTAGGGTGGCATTCGGTCAGTTCGGTTTCGACCGAACCGAAATTATGAATATCGGGTTGCCAAATTCTTCCAAATCTCAAATCGAATTCGAACCGAATTATATTTTTTTTTCGGTTGGTTTAAACCGAATTATAATTCGGTTCGGTTTTTCACACAAAATCGAATTTGTGAAGCTACTTGTATCTTCTCACTTTTAAATTATTTTTCACCCCTAATATAAACAATAAATATGCAATTATATGCATCATCAATGATAAAATCAAACTTTTCAACACATAAGTTATAAAACATTTCAAATATTTAAGTCTAAAAACAACTACAAACATAAAAATCCACCATTTGGAGTTTGCGATTATAGTATTTCGGTTTTTCGGTCGGAAATTCGATTTGGTTGAAGACCCTGATTTCCAAACTATCCATATTTTCCTTCCGAATTTCGAACCGAATAACATTAATTCGGTTTCGGTTCGGTTTCGGGTTTACCAAATCGGTTGCCCACCCCTATTCACCAGTGGCAGTTTTTATCTCCGGTTGAACTTGAGAATAACACAGTATGCCAGAGAAGCAACAGCCAAAAGAACAGCAAGAAGGAAAATGCAACAATAAAAATGCAGGAAATCGAGTTTTATTTATTATCCAATAAGACAAATCAGTAGCATTGTAGCTTTCTCTATTTACAGAACGAAATATGAACAGAAATACAAATCTTTTTCTTGGCCAAATGTCTCATTCGTTCCTTTCCATGTTAATTCTACGAAAAATATAAACAGAAGAAATTATACATGTAACTATGGAGTGAAGTAATAACTGATCTGTTTCTTGATAGGTAACCATTGGTTTATTGATTATTGAAGTTACAGCCTTTCTAATCTGCATAATTGCGTCTGATGTATGCTTTTAGTCGTGTACTACAAATGGTGATACATTTTTGTTTTTGCTTTTTGGGTAATACTACAAATGGTACATGAAACAGCTCAGGCCACATGATGGGCATCTGCAGGAGTGCTGCAAATTAAGTTCCTCATCTCTTGGAGCACCATGAACCCAGAAGAAGCCATAGCTCATAAACACGTGCTTGCTAAGCTGTATGGATAATGCAATTTATGGTTTCATTCTCTATCGATTCTCCATTTAGAGGACTCTGATAATCTGTATCAACTGGCGGCGATGTTCTAACTTGTAGCTGCAAAGACTCCTTTGCCAACAAGTCGTCAAGACGCTGTTTGTCATAGCTAACAAATGCACCCATTGCTCCCAGAAAACCTTCGTGCCGTAAGAACATTGCTTTTGCCTCTCCTTTGGACCTAAAAGTTTGAACCGGAAAAATAGTGTAAGTCACAGCTGAATCATTTTTGTCCATAATGAAATTTAGACAATCATGAAAATGGTGATTTGAAGGAACTTGCTGCCACGATTACCAGAAATTAACTGCAACAGAGATAGTATCCATTGTGTATGACTGTCCCCGAATGAAAAATCCACCAAAGAATATTCTCTTCAGGCCGAATCGGAGTGCATTCAAGTAAGAGATCTGTCATTAGATAGATATGGCAGCAAGATAGAAACAAAGGATCAGAGTGTAGCACTTAATAAAACATTGATATTCTCACTGTGTATGATTGGAACATTTAAATGTGGCTGGAAAGAAATGAAACTCAGTCATGCATAGCCCAATCAGTAGACATATTGGATATGAACATCCAGATATATCGTTTACCTACCTGTCCAATGTTGTTTGAAATCATTCTGAGAAGTGACCGTGCAATATCTTCAGGTTTGTAATCGTCAAGCTCCTTATCTTCAGATATTGCCTTCCCAAAGCTGGAAGCAATAGCTCTAGATGGTAGACCAACCTTCAATCACCATTTTAAAAAGGTGTCACATTATTGTAAAACAATTAGGGTTTTAGGGGAAAATCTCAGGAAAGACAAAGGCTGTAAAATTAAAACTGAATACTGATGGTACAGTTAAGAGCAGGTACATGAACTACTAGCCAATGGTCATCCTGAAGTTAAAAAAAAAAAAAAAAAAAATTGATTTTTACCTTTGAGTAATCCATTCCACCATAAATATCTCCAACAAGCATGTCAATCACCCGGTGATTCCCTCGATGACTCAACTCCAACAATTCATCAAAGCTGGAAGAGAGAACAACAAGACTTCTTGTCAACATTCATGGGCAGATTGTTGAAAAAAATCAATAAAGAAATCAAGCAGATGTGGAAGTAAAACCTCTTGCATTTTGTCAATAGGTTTCCCAAGCCCCAAAATGTGCCTCCTCCAATACTAGTTCCACTAACTCTCTCAAATAAGCCATCTCCGTCAACCTTTTTGCAACCACAGAGATTCATGCCAGTTAAGTAAAGAGAGGAAAATGCTCAAGGAACTTCCTTCTTTATTACAGCAAAAGAAGACTACCTTGATCATGCTAACACCAGACCCTATGTTAACCAGTAGATAGGGATACAGATCATTATGGTCAATCTGCACGAACTCCTTCACCCCATCAATGTATGTGAATGCTTCCTGGCGGACTGCCTACTTAAACAACAACCAGATTAGAGACAAACGTTTCAGAAACCAGAACAAAAAAGAAGCTTGGAAAGTTTAAGTAACGTGTCAAGAGAAGACAAGACAGCAAAATAACAGCTGCCACATGCTAACTAATGACAGAATTGAGCATTGCCTCCAAAACAACCCAAACAACCAAAAATGAAGATGTAAGAACATTATCCTTTTTGGCAAAATGGCGAATGTCCAAGTTATACATTGAGATTTTTCTACCAAACATTTCTGGATATATTCTTCGGAGCAATTGTATGCTCATTTTGAACACTCAAGAGGATAAAATGCAGGCCAAAATGTATGCATATACAGAATGATCATCCAGCAGAATTTACAGAAGACAAAAAAAAAAAACTGAAGATTATGTCATTAAGATACAAACCTTCAGCAAAAAGTTAGCTCCGGCTACAAGACAATCCATTTCATCCTCCTTCTCAAGGGTAATACCGAGCTTTTCCTTGAAGAGATCAGCAAACTTATGTGCTCCCCCACCTGTAGCCTTAGAAAACGTAGCAACTAGTTAAAAACTATAAATTGCTAGCTATGCACGCCATAGATATAGTAATACAGACAGTGTTCATTCAACCAACAGGTTTGTGAATAATATGGGCAATGTATAAAACAACAGAGCATATAATAACCCATGGTCTTGAACTCATGATGTTAGCATATGTAGATTTAAAGGAGCAGAAAGTGAACGTCAAGTCAGCATATAGGTTCAAGGCATCATTTGATAATGAAAGTTGAACTCCAAGTTCGATTAGTTCTTATATCTAACCAAAATTAAAGCACATCTAGTTGAGTTTATATAACACAGTTATTGCAGTTATTACCTTAATGAAACTGGTATCCTTGATTGTATTGTCCTCAATTGTATTGTTTTGATGCACAAAACCTGTTCATCTTCATTCGTAAATAAGTGAAAGGAAACGCCCAACAAAAAGAAGGAAAGCCCCAAAGATAACATAAATCAGATCAGGTACAGAAGCAACTCCAGAGGGGAAAATTATCTCTAATTTCTAAGGGTCGTTTATCATATAAAGGCACAGTTAAGGGTTTGTTTGTCTGCTCCTACTGCCCTTCCTCCAGCTGCCACCGGTAAGATAGAGTTTCCTAGATGATGACCACAAATATATAGCAGAAGCTCCAAAGTAATATATGGGCAAATGTAAAATTACAAGCCTCAAATTCAAGGATGGTAAACTATTGAAAAGATGAAGCTCATCATCAGAAAACTTGGGCCCTATTCACATACCGAATGGGGGAACTCAAGAAAGTAAAGCAAAAACATAGGCCTACCATTAAACTGAAGCTTCATGGATTTGATAGTCTCTAAGCATTGGTCTATCTTGCTTGTTTCCAACTTGGCAAAATGCAGACTTCCTTCAATAGCAGGACGCTTCTTTGCACAACCACCATTTGCAGAACACTCGTGATCCTGATCATCACCACTACCACTACTATCGCTTCGACAGAAATATACTGATTTTATTAATGATCCTGCAAGAAGGGGAAACAAGAACTTGTAACCATATGGCAGCAAAGAACCCTTATACATTCCCAACTTCCAAACAGTCGCTACTTCTATACTCTCAGTATGACACAGAAAGAAACAAATTGTGGCGAACCCAGAAAAGTGGAGCCGGTGGAACATTTGGCCCCAAAAGACGAACTTTGAATGAATGAAATAGTTCCGCATATACAGCTGAAGAACAAATGGGACAGTACACCAACAAATTACGAACCCAACGCGGAAGAACAGAAAACCCAAATCCCCAGAAGATTAATCACCTCCAATATCCAGGGCTAAATGAGATATTTGACCATTGGGTTCTGTTGCTGTTTGATCTTGAACAATCTCCAGATTCTTCTCTCCCATTTCTCCTTTTTTTCCTCAATCCCAACTCCTCCCCGACCTGTGTCTGCAAGTTGGGAGGGTGGTCTGTAAGCTGCAGAGCCTTCAATAAACGGAATTTCCTGTGCACTGAAATACAAAATCCAGCTCAAGGCCTGCAAAAGTACCCAACTGGATCAACCTCAGAACCAACCTCCTCCCACTTTTATCTATCTATCTATCTATGTACACGCAGCAAAAGGGTTCCAGATTCTACGGCCCTTCTCTTTATCCTTTAGCAACAAACCTAGATTGGCGTGCACCTGGTGCAGCCGAAGAATGACAGATAACAGGACAGGAAATTCAGGGGAGAAAGGGGTGGTTTGATTAGGAGGGATGGATAATCTTTACGGAACAGAGAGAAAGCGGGCCAGCGAGGCAGGAAGATAACGACGGGGGGACCAAAGAAAGAAATGGAGAGAAGGAAAGGAAGGAAATTCAGTGGTGGGTTTGACCTCTTTTTCTTCTTCTTCCTCCTCCTGTCTGCTGTTCTGTTTATAACGGAAGATTGGAATTTGTTCGTTCGTCTCTGCTGCGCTGCCGTGATGCCCTTTTATACAGAGATCGATCTGGTCAACCAATAATTCACCAAATAATAATAGGATAACAAATTGGTTACCCAATATATCAACGATAATGTATATATATTATCATACACGTTTTTTTGCAGGTGGGTTTGTTTGATAATCTAAGTTCTTACAGGCGGGCGTTGGCATCCTAAACCTGTAGTCCAAAATGGTGTGCTGAGTGGAGAGGTGGTGATTTTTTTTAGATACAGAACAAAGGGGTTTGTTGTCATCGGATGATTCCAAATCTGGACGGCTAGCTAAAACTTTTGCCTGTTTTCCTCTGCGCTGGGACCAGTTAGGGTTAATTCTTCGCGTCGGCGAGAGTGGAGAGGTGGCAACCCGGCGGTGAGGACGATAGAAAGTAGTAGACGACCGGCGACGGAGGGAGAGTGAACGGCGATGGCAGGAGGTTGGTTGGCGGAAGAATTAAAGCCATGTTTGACTGGTGTGATGAAATTGAGCGATTTGGGACCGAACCACAAAAGTGCTCTAAACAAAACTAGTCAATTGACCCGGGTAGTCTTAGCAATTTAGCATCACAGAACCATTGGGATAGGTAGAATTACAATGCAGTAGGATATGAAATTTACAAAACTCAAGTCTTGGCATGGGTAGAATAGATTGAATGTTGTTAGATTTTAATTGTTTACTACGTAAGAAACACATGTAATTTGCTTCCCATATAGCATGCACAATGAAGTGTAAGCATGAAATTAAAGGGTTACCCGCTGATGGATTTTTGAGCTTCCGCGAAATGTTTGTCACAGTGCTAATCGACATTGGTTGGCATCACGGTAAGAGTTATAGCTCTAAAAGTAATTGATATAAATGAGGTTTCACACTCTATAAAGTTATCACAAATTCTAAGCTGGATAAACTGCCTTTTTGAGGTGACCAAACCACACTTAAATATGAGATAAAGTCTTGAAGGATGTAATCATGACCCTGAAAAATAGAAAAACATGTCAAACCCTTAGTTCGTGAACAAGTGAATAACAAAAGAGTAAATATGTGTCCATGAAGATGGCATAAAGCTTCAGTGATAAAGCCTACTGTTTTTTTCCTGATTAAAATGAGAAAATGTTTGCCGACAGAATAAAATTTCTTATTGGAGTTTAAGAAACAGGTTTTTAAAATCCATGGACAAAAGAGTAGAAATCAGAGAGGAAGTGTGAAGTACCTTTGAGATAGGAAGTATCAAGATCTTGGCTTAGTGTGCAAAAAAGGTACCTGATTCTTCTGTCAATTTAGAGATTGAGGAAAAGATTATTGTTGCCTCAATAGCTCATACATGTTAATAAAAGAAACAAAGAAGCTGGTTAGGAAGACCAACTGTTTAGTAAGACAAACTACTCCAAACAAACTAATCAAGTAATGCCAATATAGCGAAGAGGCATGAGGTAAAACATAAACATCAAACCTTAGAGCCTAAATCATTCAAAGTAGAGCAAACACACAATAATTAGTCCAATATTCAGAGAAAGTATAACACACGGAGCACCTGGGTTTTTGGATTGGTACTGTCTTTATCCATAAGGGATAGGAAACAGGAAAAAGACATAAATATAAAAGTCTTTGAGGACATCAGTCCACAACTGATCAAGTTCTCATTCAATAGGTTGCTTTCTTTTCATGGATATGGTTTGGTTTTCTCCACATCAGTGCCTTTAACTTTATTACACAGTGTGTCTGAGACTTGAGAAGAACTCATTCTCAATGTCACTATGAATAGATTGGGTGGAGACAGCCTTCTACAACATGGAGGGTAAGTCCCGAAACATAAAGTTTAAGCATATCGTACTTAGTAGCTGGAAATTGGTCAAAGGGGATGTGAAGTACAGAACATAATAAGTATGTAAGAAAGTAGAGTATGAGTGCTAGATAAAGCAAAGATAACCAAGGTAGTGGTTTGATAATTAACATGCTACAGCAAACTCGAGACTAATAAAATTAGAAAATGAACAAAGGCAGTATGGTTCAAAATAGGTTGTGAGCCAAAATCAGAACAGTCTACTGTACAGAAGGCAACAAATCAGTACTCCAGGTCTCGAGCTAACGAAGTCCATAAATTAACATGAAGTGGAATTTAAAAAAAAAAAGAGAACTTACATCTATGGAGGCTCGATTAATTTTTACCACAGTGAAGTCTGGTTTGCTCCTTGTATACATGCTGATTTTGATTTTCACATGAAACTTGAGGGTCATTCCTTGAATGTTAACGATATTATCTGTTGGAGCATCTTTCAACCTACCATTTTGAAGGAATAGTTGGTTAGCATAATAGCAGGAAATCCAAAGAAGTTCTCGCCCACTTTTTCAAACACGCCAAAAGATGACGAGGTGTCATCACTAACAACTTCAAGTCGGAGTGGATACCTAAAATCAAATGAAGTTTATAATAAGTGGTCAGTTCTTAATTCGGCCAATAAATGAAGGTAACATAACAAAGAAATAGTTTGGGAGAGAAGAAGGTAAAACCATACTTTGCAGCCTTGGTAGTTGTTTTTTTGCATTGTGTACAATGATAGGTATCCTTATCTTCATGAGCTTTATAAATGCAGTTAGGACAACTCAGGTAAGACGCTCCATCTCTGTTTCGACTTCTTTGTTGGTAGGAGAAGCAGGATGTACACAAATGGCTCGTCCTTTTAGTAATAAAGAAAGCAAAATGGTTAATTGAGCAAGAACACGGTAACATTAGGAGGTAGAAATTGGCAGGGTAATCGAACATAGCAATCACTATAGAGTTCCACCAGTTGCAGTTACATTGACCCGAAGAACACCTATTTTGAGTTGTAGCAGCTTGTGAGGAGGAAGCCCCAGGGGTGTCACACCGACGAACCATCAGAATTATATGACAGAACAGAGTTCTGGAAAACCACCGATATTTCACCAATGCTGGGAAACACACGCTTCACCAATTAGTAGAAAGTTGTTTAGAACAAACAACCAGTGGATTAGATGTAGGAATGCCACCTTTACCCGAAAGGGATTGAACAGCAAAGAGGCGATAGCTGATGGTGGAATACCAATTGGAGCACCGGAACTGAGCTGGTCGACAATGCCAAAGAAAATGAGAAGGATTAAGGAATTGGAGCAAAAAAACTATAACATAACAGTGTGGGCAATTGGGGAACCTGTTTTGGCAAGGGTGGTCGGAGTTGAACGGTGGAATTGAAATGCATGCAGAGAAGTGAAGTATTACAGTGGCGAGACATTAGTCCTCAATTACGGCGGCGAGACTACAGCGGGATGAGGGCGAGATAGGACAACAAAACGAAAAGCAGTGATGGCTGCATTGACCAACGGCGGAGGGCGCAGTTTCGCAGACGGACGACTGATATTGAAGAGTCGACGGAGTGCGGGTGACGTAGTGGATGCATGGAAGGGTTTGTAGTACTAGCGCGGGCTTCGAAGAAATTGAATTAGTGGGGAAGCCTTCAATTACGGTTGGGGAGGGGATGTGTGAACTTCCTTTAATGCCCTTCCGGGAAACGCTCTCAAGGCTTGGGTTTTCAAATGGAGGAATGCAAAGGCTTTAAAACGTACTAGCGTGGCCCCGGCCGTTTGGCCGGAGGAAGGTGAGGTATGAAATTTGATAATGTAATGGGGGTGTATAGCTTATTGTTGTATAGTTTTTTTTTTGGAAACACGTGATAAAAATAGTGAATTTTAGTAGGAAAAAGACATGAATGATGCAACGAATCAAAAATCAACCTTATGAAGCAAATTCAGGTACCTGTTACCTGGTAATATGATGAGGTGGAGTAAGTTTTATAGAAACCGAATTCCAGAAAATCGAATGAAAAATCGCATATCCCGCGGGTTTTCGGGAAATGAGCATCTCACAATCGTTGCTAGCTTTTACTCGGCCCGTTGGCCGATTAATTTGCATTATAAAACTTTCATCTTGTCATCATTGTGCTTTCTGTTTTTTTGCCAAGCCATGATAAAATCTAAAGAAATCAAGAATGAACAACACAATTTGGGATAGGAACCACCGTTCCTGTATCCCTAGAAAATGGTAGGGGTGTTCAAACGGTTTGGTTATCGTGGTAACCGTTTTAACCGGTACTATTTGGATAATTTGGTTTGGTTAATTTGAATAACTGGTTTGGTTTGGTTAAAGTTTTTAGCTTGTTTGGTTTAGGTGGTTTGGTTTGGTTTCACACACTCCTAACCAGTTAATTAATTAGTCATATATCTAGCATATATTATATACACATACTTAATACTTTGCATAACAACTCAAGAGTTAACGTTCATCCCTTTTAGACTCATATAAAATATAAAGCTCAATATTGCTCATATAGTGTATATTTGTATATATAAAGTGTAGACCACAACATATAGACGCATAATTTAGATAAATTTCATACATTATGATGGATGAAAACTTGAAAGGAAGGTCATTTCTAGCCTATGATAATTGCTAAGAGACTAAGTCAATTTACACAAACACAACAATTCATTAACCCATTGTCATAAATTTTTGTTAGGTGAATACTTCTATACTAATCGTAAGATAATTGTCTTAGTTGCATGTATTTTTGTTAAGGGTCAACTATAACTACGTGTTGAGTGTTATGTTTTATTCATTATATAAATTGCGAATTATTGTATTAACCGGTAAATTTTCATCATCAATGATAATGTGATTTTATATTGGTTAATCTGGTTAACCAATTAACCAAACCGATTAAATATTAGTTTGGTTAATTTGGTTGTTGTATTAGTTTGGACGGTTTGGTTATGATATTGTATTCCATGGTTAATGGAATTTAGCCTTATTTGGTTTGGTTATAACCATGGTAACCATTTGAACACCCCTAGAAAATGGTGGTAAACACGGACTCACCTGCCAAACTGGTTTGGATTGAGATTATTATCGGGTATCAGGGGACCATGTGATTATAAATTAGACTTGATCAAAATGGGCCAAAACTTGAAATTCAGCCTGTTTGACCGACCCATACCAAACTCTAATTATTCTTTACTTTAAACTTTCTATTTGAAAATAAAAAATATTGAAAGAAAAGAGAT